TTTTTTTTTTTTTTTTTTTTTTTTGTTTTTTTCTTTTTGGTCTAACTCATTCTCAAATTACAAATTCTATTGCTTTTGGAGTAAGTGATCACTAGCTAACATGCTCGAACACTCGGCCACAAATTGTTAATTTCGACTATAACTTTCATGTTCATCATTACCATTATCATCACTAGCTAAATTATAATTTGAAAAATTAATATTTTAAAATTGAAAATGCAATAAAACCTCTCTAAATTAAGCTCTATTTGAAGTAATTTGAAGTTTGACTTGTTTCTAATAAATCATAAGATGCAATTCGATGCAATTCAATTCATTTGTGTCATCAAACAATAACATGTAGAATATGAACTCTCGTTCTTCGTGAACTACTTATGGCATGATTAAGACGCCTGATTTTGTATCAAAAGATCTGATGATATAATAGCAAATAGATTAAAGAAAAGTTATCATGTACGTAATCTATAACAACATCGAAAGGCTTGGACTTGGCCTGCCTACAACAAAAGCGTTAGAAGCCCTTAATTAAAGAGACCGTTAGTCAATCTAAAGTGTTCCCTAGCTTGATTCTTTCATTTCTTTTGTCGCTCAGTGCATCTCCACCACTGACAAACTTTTTGTCTGACCATCGAGATATATTCTTTTTCTTCTTCAAACTCAAGATGATAGTGTACTTGAGTCAAAGGAGAGTGTGTGTATAATAGTGTTTTGATGGTTTGAATAAATTTGAAAAGGTCAAAGTGAAGTTCCATAAATGAACCCTCCAAATATTCTTTCAAATCCTTGAAGTTCTATTAATAAACAAACTAAAATAGCCTTACATGATGAACACATTACAAAGCCTCCCACTTTTTGATGCGAGAATAATGGACAATGAAACGTTGATGGAACGTTGAATTTGAGGAAGAAAAGAGAAACCCACCAAGAAAAAGCAAAGAAAAGGTTAGAAGAGGAGAAAAAAAGTGACAAGATTGAGGAAAAAAAACCAAACAATCCATGGCGCCAAGCAAGATTAGAAGAGCATTAGGAGCTGTGAAGGACAAGACAAGCATAGGGTTGGCCAAGGTGGGTAGCAGCAATTCCTTGTCGGATTTGGAAGTGGCCATCGTGAAAGCCACACGACATGAAGAATACCCAGCTGAGGAGCGCCATGTGCGAGAGATTCTAAGCCTCACATGCTACTCAAAGGCTTACATAAGTGCATGTGTTAATACGTTGTCTAGGCGATTGAACAAGACAAAGGATTGGACGGTGGCACTCAAGACACTAATGTTAATACAACGTTTGGTGTCGGAAGGGGATCCGGCTTACGAGCAAGAGATCTTTTTCTCGACGAGGCGTGGGACGAGGTTTCTAAACATGTCGGATTTTAGGGATACTTCTCAGTCGAATTCTTGGGATTATTCTGCATTTGTTCGTACTTATGCTTTGTACCTTGATGAAAGGCTTGAGTATAGGATGCAAAGTCGGAGGGGGAGAAGGAGTGCGTTTGGATTGCTAGAGGAAGAAGACCAACAACAAAATAGTAATAGAAATAGTAATAGTAGTAATACCAACAATGACGATGACGACGACAACGATAATAATAAGACTATTATGATAAGAGCCACTCCGTTACATGAAATGACAACTGAACAAATATTTTCAAAGACACAACATTTGCAGCAGCTTCTTGAACGCTTTTTGGCTTGTCGTCCAACAGGTTCGTTTCATTTATGTGTCGTGTGTTTGCATGCGTTCGTTCGAATTTAGGCGAGAGAAATATATAACTTGAAACTCATGGCTATTAAACTAGATGAAATTGATTAGTTTTTTATTGATTTTTTTTGTATAGGTGCTGCAAAGGTAAACAGGGTGGTGTTAGTAGCATTATATCCTATCGTAAAGGAGAGTTTCCAAATATATTATGACATAACCGAAACTATGGGAATCCTAATTGATCGTTTCATGGATTTGAAGATCCGCGACTGTGTCAGAGTGTATGAGATTTTCTGTCGTGTTGGGAAGCAATTTGATGAACTTGAAATGTTCTATTCTTGGTGTAGAAACATTGGAATTGCTCGCTCGACCGAGTACCCAGAAGTCGAAAAGATTACTCCAAAGAAACTCGAAGTCATGGATGAGTTCATCAAGGACAAGTCTGCCTTGGCTCAATGCCTAAGAAATGAAGTGGAAATCACAGAGGAAGAGGAAGAGGAAGAGGAAGAGGAAGAGGAAGACGAAGACGAAGAGGAAGAACAAGAACACGACATGAATTCCATTAAAGCTCTTCCACCACCTGAGAGCTTCGAGGAGGAACAAACAGCCTTATTAGTGAACGAAGAGAATGAAACTAATGAGATGAAAGCAAAAGAGAAGAGTGATGAACATTATCCTATGATGGGTGATTTCTTGAACCTTGATGAGGAGCATCAAATGACAAGAGAAGAAAATGCAGAGAAATTGGCGTTTGCTTTATTCGATGGAAGTGCTCCGATTATCGACGCTTCGGTACCAGCTCTACCGTGGGAAGCCTTTAGCGACGACGCACCAGATTGGGAAACTGCATTGGTTCAATCAGCAAGCAATTTATCAAATCAAAGAACTGACCTTGGTGGAGGTTTTGATATGCTTCTTTTGGATGGCATGTATAAGCAAACAACAACGATGTCAACAATGGCTGGCTCAGGTTATGGGGTGAGTGGCAGTGCAAGCAGCATGGCACTTGGGTCTGCAGGGAGACCAGCCCTGCTTGCATTGCCAGCCCCTTCGACCTCGGAAGGCAGTGTGGCAAGCTCATCCTCGGTCATGAGCGACCCGTTTGCTGCATCGGTGGCTGTGGCACCTCCGGCATATGTTCAGATGTCGGAGATGGAGAGGAAAAAGAAGCTGTTGGTGGAGGAGCAGCTCATGTGGCAGCAATATGCAAGGGATGGGAGACAAATACAGCCCAACCCTTATACAGGAGGCTACACACACAGTTACTAGTTGTTAGGGCAGTTAAACCAACTCTCGTACGAGCTCCTAACGGTTCGTTAACTCACCTTGTAATTTTATGGTCCTTAGTTTCATTTTTTTTTTTTCTTTTTTCTTGTGCTTTTTTACTCAGTAAAAGACGACAATACAGTGTTTGTATGTGCTGTTACTTTTGGTAGGGATGACACAAGGTAAATAAACAATTTATTTAACATTAGATTTGTGTTTATTTAATTTTCTGATCTCCTAGTTGTAAAAGTCTCCCGTAATCCATTATACTTCATAGTTTCCTCTCTTGTTAGTGTACTCATGCAATATCACTTACGGCAGCTTTTAGTTATATTGTATGCATGAGGTAACGAGATATTGATTGTACAGTAGTTAGGAGCTCTTTCTCTCACGGTAGTGCGCCCTCCCTATTTTGAGTAGGTGCTCGCAAGGTCAAAGTCCAAAATGAGATTCTTTCATTGACACAGGGGCAGGGTAAAGAGTTTCAGTGATTTACACCTCGAAGTAGAATGTGTAAATACCAAATACATAGGTTGAGTCATTCGCCGACCAACTTGTTTTTCTAGGAAAATAAAATCAGTGAAGAGTCTGGATTATGCACTCAATTCATGATACTATTGCTAAGACAAGATCAATGATACCCTGCAATGGCAGACAAACCTAGATAATCTGCTCTGGAAGATAAAAAGAAATGTTCGTCAAGAATGTCCCATACGGATTTTCTTAGATAACATTTCTAGAAATGTAACAACCTAAACCCACCGCTAGCAGATATTGTCTTCTTTAGGCTTTTCCTTTTAGGCTTCCTCTCAAGGTTTTTAAAACGTGTCTGCTAGGGAGAGGTTTCCACACCCTTATAAAGAATGCTCCGTTCTCCTCCCCAACCAATGTGAGATCTCACAATCCACCCCCCTTTGAAACCAGTATCCTCTCTGGCACTATTCCCTTCTCCAATCGATGAGGGACCCCCCAAATCCACCCCCCTTTGAAACCAGTATCCTCTCTGGCACTATTCCCTTCTCCAATCGATGAGGGACCCCCCAAATCCACCCCCCTTTGAAACCAGTATCCTCTCTGGCACTATTCCCTTCTCCAATCGATGAGGGACCCCCCAAATCCACCCCCCTTTGAAACCAGTATCCTCTCTGGCACTATTCCCTTCTCCAATCGATGAGGGACCCCCCAAATCCACCCCCCTTCGGGGCTCAGCGTATTTGTTGGCATACCGCCTTGTGTCCACCCCCCTTCAGGACTCAGGCTCCATGCTGGCACATGACCAGGTGTGTCTAAATCTGATACCATTTGTAACAACCCAAGCCCACCGCTAGCAAATATTATCCTCTTTGAGCTTTCTCCCTTTCGAGCTTCCCTCAAGGTTTTTAAAACACATTTACTAGGGAAAAGTTTTCATACTCTTATAAAGAATGTTTCGTTCTCCTCCCCAACCGTTGTGCAATCTCACAAGAAGTATGCATGAGTTTAGTCCTATAACATTATGTTATTGCAACTGTTTTACGTACATAAACCACAACAAAAAGGACTTAAACATCACAAATTTCTCACAATTTCAAGTCAGTTAAGCTTGAAACATGCACAAATAACTCCTGGAAATAAGAGTTATGAGCGAGTGAAGGCAACAAGATCTAAGTGGTGAATTAGTGAGTCAACATGGCACTACTCTACTTCTGATAACACAATTGAATAAAGAGAAATGGAAGTTCTCTTTTATATTCTTCTTGATCTTTTGGAATGAAAGGTTTTCTGCTTCTTAAGAAAATTAATATCCATTTTCATAAATGATCCATTTAATTAGCCAAATATGTCTTTCCAAGACCTAAAGAAAATGAAATACAAAAATCAATGCAGGCAACATACAACACAGTTGGTTTTATTGGTATTCACAAAATCAATCAGATCTGTCCTTTTTTGTTTTTTCTTCTGCCTCCGTGGGATGGCGACAATATCAGAGTAAATAGATGGAATTGACAGATTCAGAAAATACTCAAGATAACTATGAACAAGGTAGAAAACGACATACACTGATGAGCTCATTTTCAGTCATCCAAGGCACAGCGTCTTACATCTGGCAAATCAGCTTGAGAAACTCTTCTAGTAGAAACACCAAGCTTAGTCCCAACACGAACCAAAGTTTCAAGTGATCTGGAACTATTTGCTAACAGGTCCTCATCTATCTGGATCGAGTCCTGCATCAATATTTCCAGATTGTATCTCAAAAACTTGTAATAGATAGCTGGTAAAAGTGGAACTTTTCATTAGTCAAAACTAAATATCAGAACAGAATAGAAACTTTTAATTCATATGTAGGTATATAAGTTTGGATCTTTTTTTATACACGAAACACATTATTTGATAGGCTACATCAGCTAATGGGGAAGAGGAGCGAAAAAATGTATAGTGCACATGTCAAGTAATATAGGCTGCATAAAAGTTGAAAAATCAATGAAGATTTGGTGGGTGGCTTCGAATTCATACCCATAATGATAACCATGCTCGATCGAATTAACTGAACTATGCCTATTTGTAAATCCAGATAAAAGTCGAAAAATCTCAACGATAATGATGAAAATATACACATAAGTACACCAAAAGTACTACACATAATTATGAAATCTTAGTGATTAAATATCAATTATGATCAGGTGTGAGACTACAACTAAATCATTTTATGGAAACACACATCAATGAGGAAAAACTAGGCAAAATGTCGATGAAGTATCTTTCACATACCTTTTAAAGTGCTTATAGAAAACTAAAAGTGTGACTAAAATTTTAGATAGATAAAAAGTGCTTTTGATCAATTAAAAGGGAGTTTTGAAATTGTGATGATCAAAAGTGGTTTGAAATTTTATAGAAAAAAAATGTTTAGTGCTTTTGGATGAAGCATGTAACAAATTGCCTATAAAAAGTACACATACAATAAGTGATTCACTTAAAAAGAACTTATTTCCACACATTGAATGGCTAGGAAAAGTGCACATCATCAGCTGTAAGATTGTAGAAAGCAATTTTGACCAACTTTCAGTTCCACAATGCTTGTGTTGTTGAAATATGAACATTTATACTGTTGCCTTTCGATTCTTCTGATATATTAGCAGATGGCATAAATAAATGCTGTATTCTTGTTCTTCTGAAAATGTGAATATTTGACCCAAGCATACCAACTTCTTTTCATAAATACTTCAGGCGAAAAAAGATCTTAAAAAAGAAAAAACTTCTAAGATTTCCCAAACTTTCAATCACTTCAGTTTGAAATTTTTAGTTATCTTCCAAAGAGTTCCATCAATGCAAGCTTTTTCTAAAAAAAACAAAAAATAGCTTCAGCATCTCCATTAGTACAGCTATGTCAGGTGAAATAGATTTCAACCTCCACGTGGTTGGTATGAAGTAATTGAATTAATGGACACAGAAACAAAAATTTAAACTACGACAAATTAAATGAACACTTGCCTTTTCAAATACGCAAATTACAGTACTTCCACCGAAAGAGAAATACCCAAACTGCAGAAAAAGGGTATCGGTTAGAAGTTAAGCCATCGTACGTATGCTACATATGAAGAAGGTATTTAGCGTAAATTTACCTCTTCTCCTTTTTTTACATAATCTCCCTTCCCTTTTGTGAAGGTTATGCTGCCAACCATGGTAGCTCCAATTGCAACAAAAGCAACCTATAGTAGATGGCGATACTCTTTGTCAAAAGAAAAATGCGGTGTTTTTGTCTTTCAACTCCATAGATAAGAGTTCAGGAAATATAAAATAGCTAAGCGCCTAATATATTATACTTGCAAGGCATTGCCACACAACAACTCAACAAATATGAAAGTCACAGATGACAGAGTTTTTTAAGTAATATAAAATCATAAGACTCATACATCTACAATGGCATTTATTGAGTTTGTTAACGTAACAAAGGTACTTAAACCTTAAAAGAGGTTCCTTGTGATACTAGAACTTGAGGTCTACTCCGTAGCAATTTCAGTTATATATATATATAGATAGATAGATAGATAGATAGATAGATAGATAGATAGATGCTTGATCTCTTAAACAAATAACACATAGTGGGATGCAAGTTTGTACACAATTCCATACCATTCGATTAGAAATCAGGACATATTACTGAAGTTCGGGCTAACATAGAGTATTTCTCTTTCACACAAAACAATCTTTTTCATATAAATATTACCAACTAATTTGTGCACTCGCCTTATAACCAACATCTGGAAGTAGTAAACAGTGTTCTCAGATATTTAAAAAGACCAAAAGTAAAAGGATAGACCTTGCCAAAATCAGAAGATGAAATTATAGCTACTGATCGCTTGTTTTCTGTGAAGACATTGCAATACTTGCTATTGACAGCAATTGGATTAACCTAGCAAGGATAAAAATAAAAATAAAAGAAAAACAAGTTTAGTGGAAAGTGCAAGATCTGAAATCATGTTTAAAAAGAAGTAAAAAAAAAACGAAGCAAGATTTTTATGCATTCAATAAACATACAGTATACAGGCATCCAGGTATGTCTACAATTTGTTCAATGAATCCAGAGACTGGAAAATGGAAGCGATGATAATCCTGAAACATAGTAACCCTGCTTAGCTGATAATAAATGATAAGGTTAAATACATCACCCTGTTATGTATAGGGAAAATAAGGTAAATACTTGTGGTGCCAGACGAAATATCACCAACGTCCCATCCATAAAAGCACCCGCGCTTATCTCTTGCCCTAGAAGACCTTGAACTGAAAACTTCCGCCCCTACAAGTCCAAAACAACAATTTGAAATGTGGAAATACCCCAAAAATGTTATTGTACAATTTCAATAAAGTATATTTTCATCAGAATTATTTAGAATATCATCTATTACATTTTGACTGAAATATTTGCAATGTTCCATCTAAATATGTTTTTTTACGTGAGTTTTTTTGTCCACTACAAGAAGGGTGTTTAAAGGGAAACAAAACATAGTTTACGGCTCCACACCAAAGTGTAAGTCATCGGCTGCAGCAGGGAAATGATATTATACTTTTTCCCGTTTATATTCTTCCTGCTTAGATTAGTTTATTTTTATCATTAACATGCAATGCAAAATTAATTGCAACAGCCCATGCCACCAAGAGAGGCACGAGATGACTTGGTCATGGAAGATAGAACAAAATACTTTTTCTCATTATACAGAACTCTGCCAGTATTTCTTTATATTATTAAGAACATAGAGTCTCAATTATCTTTCTACTTTTCAGTATAATTTTTTGGTGCATGGCTTTCTATAACTAACTAAATCGTAACAATAAATCTAAATAGATCCCTAAATACTAGGTAATAATACAAATGAATTATAAAAATTGACTACTTCCCTTATTTAATGGATTACACAAATGTAAAAAAATATAAAAAATGAGGGTGATATCTTTTTTAACGCTAAAAATTACACAAATAGTTCGTAAAACAAGGTCATTCCTTCGAACACATGTTTTCAGTTTCTTTCCTTGTTTCTGGTCCAAAGGAAAGGAAAAAAGGAAAAGACAAAGGATAAGATTGAGCATATCCCAACCAGGGAACTATTATCCATCTTATCAGACTTACTCTTAACTCTTATTTGCCACTCATAAGTGGTAAGCCCCAGATCGTATATATTCTCTTTGCATGATTTCTATACTAGTCGGTCAATTCAGTTCAGCTTTTTCACCTCCATTCGGTAATCATGTTGTTTTTTATTTTCTGGTTTTAAAAGATCAGCATGTTTACCACAAAAAAAATAATAATAATAATAAAGAAGGTAAGTTTTCCATCTTCCTTGAAAAAACATTTGAGTTCTAAGAAAANGAACTCCATTCTGAAACCCATAAGAAAGCGGAAAATTGTGCAAAAAATAACAGCTGGAACAAATAAGAATTGTAACAGTAGAAAAGTAATATGCGAAAATGGGTACACTGCGCTTGGAAGCTAACCTGAGACGCGTCCCTGAGGAGAAAGGATTCATGATTGAGTTCAAATCGAACCTCCAAAAAAGGTATCCAAGATCGGAATGAATACAAGAAGCAAGGCGTAATTAAGCAGAGATGTGGAGATTATGCAGCGATTAGAACATTGTGACGAAGAAATCCGAGATCCAAACGCGTTTTGGAGAGATCTGGAACGGGGAGTAGAGAGAGTTTGGATCTGAAGATACGTTCAAGCTTGTGTCGGGCTCCTCCTTCCCACTTCTGACGAATGCGCCAAGCTCTTCAACGCTGTGATCAAAACTTAGAACATCAAAATAAAAATAAAAATTTAATAAAATTAATAAATTAAAATTAAAAATAATATATATATAAATGAATTGAAAGCACAAGGAGAATATTTTTCCCTTTTTTTTTTTTTTTTTTTTTTTTTTTTTTCTTTTCTAATTTTGGCTAGGTTGAGTAGTGATTCTACACTTAATTTTCAAAAACTGATAACTAGAAACAAAATGGTTATGAAAAGGAGGCTTAATTTTTGACAATTTTCCTTCAAATAAAACATCTAGGTCGCATCTGGGTTAAATGTCAATTTTGGGAACCAAGTTCTATCAATTTTCCAACTTAAGAATAATAAACATAATCCACCAACTACTTGCTAAATAACTTTAATGAAAAACATATGTAGGCAAGAGTCCATAAACTCTATATTGACATTATTAAAGGTAGAAAGTACCTTAATCCACAACCTTAGGCTGTCATCGATTGATTTAAATGCCATTAATCGGCAATCAGCAGCACATACGGCAACATCATCACATTCCACATGTGCAATTGGTCTCACATCGGGCTTCAACTCTCTTATAAAGAATTCATTAAATGTCTGCAAATGTGAGAGTCAAAAAGATATACTTTTTTTGGCAGAAACCGCTCTTAAATCAATAATACAAAATAAAGTTGTCTGTACTCAAGCTGAATTTAAATAATGCCACAGCTAATGCAGATGGTTATGCACTATTAAGAAAATTCAAATATGAAAGAGGATAGTAATAACATCCTCTTCCCAATTCCAGCACTCTAGAAAAAAAACGTATTATTTGCAAGTCATTTAAAAGTAGTAGAAAATTGAAGCTTTAATATCTTTTTCTCAATACATTTATTTATGTTTAACTGTGGGTCCCCAAGTGAAGTCATTGCTCAATTAGATAAGGCATTATAACCTCTGCAAGTGAATAGATGTTCAAATCTCCACCCCAACTAATAAGATGACAAAATGAAGAAAGAGTAAAGTCATTCAACCAATATTAAGCCCACAAGATAAACCCTCTTCCGATATTTGAAGTTGGAGAACACGTAGGATATCAATATTCTACATAGGTGCCTATCAATGCCTTAAATATATTTGAGAAAACAATTAGCCTTTTAGTTTTAAGCCAAATTTGTCCACCTGTTTTTTATTTTTTTTAAATGAAAAACTAACCTTTGATTGAGAAAAAGTTAATGAATATAAAGGGCATACGAAAACATCTTTCTATTGTCAAGAANGTTTAAATGTGGGCAAAAAAAAAAAAAAAAAAAAAAAAAAAAATCAAGAGTAAGAAACAGCACAGTTAATTGATCCCCAAATCACACAACGCCAAAGATAAAACTCTACAAACACAAATAAAGCAATCTTTCTTTCTGAAATTTGAAACGAGAGACAAGTGTTACTTGCACATGTAAAACACTAGAAAAAAACTTGATATAAAAAGTTACTTCGTTCCAAGATTTTGAGATGAAAATTAATGAAAAAACTATGGGTTTTTCTCCCTCTCCATTTAACATGAAAATCTAGATTCATGAAGGTAGGAGAGATACGAAACAGTAAACCACACTTTAAAAGCTTTACAAAATGCATTACTAAGATACACTCAAGTAACGACAAAAAACTTAAGCTTTCCAAAACCTAAATCATAGATATTTCAAGAGCACAAAATTATGGTATGTTACCAACTTGTAATATAAAGCAATATTTGGAATGTGGAAACAAGGATCAAATCGTAGGGTTCAATATTATCCCTCACTTGTGGTAAGAAATTTGCACATAGGTCCAATAAGTAGTTATCAATATGAACTAGGAAGGAAATAACAATATAGGAGCTCGATCCCATGACCTCCTACTATGATACCACGTTAAACTCACTTAAAACTAAAAAAGTTAAGCTAATGAGCTAAGAAAAAATTGATATTTTATCAATACTTCAACAAAACATGCAGGCTAGTAAAACAATCTTTACATTTTTTCAAAAAATAAAAAATAGTGTACCTTGAAATATTCTAAAGGATGCTTCACCTCATTCATATTGATTTGATCCTGCAAAACCCAATAAACTTTGTCATCCAAGATGCGACTTACATAACTATAGGTTAAAGAGATCAAAAAGTACAAAAGGACCGGAGAGCTAGATGAATTCTTTCCAATTGGTTTGTCAAATTCAGGCTGCCAATTTTTAAACCATCTCCCTTCTAAAGGTTCAAAAACTTTAGCCAAACCAATGAGATGTTTTAATCTTCCCTCCCCATTGCCTTAACATATGAATATCTCATTTTTCTCTCTAGCTCTTACAATCTAATTAGAATATGGTAGGTTTAGAATTCTAACATTTTCACCTTGTAAAAATCTTTTAAGACACCCCCACCAATTCGTAAGAACAGTCATTGAAAATATCCCTTCTTTAGAGAAAAGGCTTTTTTGTTTGCACCTAGTATACAATGTCAGTTCAATTATATTTAGGTCACTATTAAAACCATCTTCTTTAAAACATTTCATGGATATATGCACTTTTCATTATCATTTGCAGAAGCTCCATCGATAAAACCTATTAACAATTGTAATAACTCAAGAAAGTAAACGTTGACGATTATAATATGTAATTTTGAAATTTAGTGAAACTTGAAGGGAAATAACTCAAAATAATCATTGCCTTGAAAGATTCAATGAAATGTGGAATATCTTTTGCAGATTCAACTGAATCCATCCGCTTTCCTTGCTTTTCAGAAATGCTATGTAAGAGTTCTTTCACCCCTGCATTAACCGTCAAAGTATGTCGGTTTAAAGCAAACGAACAAAGGAGTGAATGAAAAATAAAATAATATGATATAAAAAGCCACCTGATAGTAGTAAAAGTGGAGCATATAATTGAAGTTTAACTCAAAATTTGATAATGAGATCAGAATTACACAAGTGAAACTGTGAAAGTAATTAAAATTTAGTAAAAGTAATATGTTAAAGTATTCTAAAGTTTTTTTCCAATGCCTTTTTGAGTTTCTTGCAGATATACATTGAGGAAAGTTTATCATTGAAGAGTGTTGAAAGAGGAGCAGTTTCCTTATTTGCTTGGTGATTTTGGAATGCAGGTATTGGCTGTCCTTTATTGATGAGTTTTGAAAAGCAAAAGGAAAGAATGAAGAGAATATAAAGAAGATAAAAGGGAGCATGAAAAGAAAAGGAAAAAGAGATAGAAAGGTGAACTACAGGCTATGTTCAAGGAATTTTCAACAGCTTGAGGAAGAGTTAAGTTTTGAAGTAATAGCAGGAAGAGGGTAGTTGTGTCCCAGATAATTAGCTTTGGTTCTCGATGGAGGTCTTGAGACTGGTGTTTTCTATTCAATGTTGATTTGGGTCTTTATGAGAAATGGTGTTCAAGAGGTGAAGCAAAGCATTTTGTTAAAGTTGACCTATTTTCCAGCTCAGTTGCAGTTGCAGGTGGATGTTGTCTGCACAATGTTTTTTCTTTTCTTTTCTTTTCTTTTTTTTTTTTTTTTTTTTT